ACCTGGGATATTTGCCAGAAGGGGAGGAATCAGTGGGTTGTAATGGGTATTTGCCATTAAATATCATTTTGATGGCTCTATTGAGAAGTTTAAGGTCAAGCTCGTTGCTAAAGGCTACACTCAGATGTATGGTATTGACTATCTTAAGACCTTTGCTCCTGTGGCTAAGATGACCTCAGCCCGGGTTTTGTTGTTCCTGTCTGTTACTTTTGAATGGCCTCTCCACCAGTTTGATGTTAAAAATGCCTTCTTGAATGGAGATCTACATGAAGAAGTCTATATGTCTTTGCCTCCGGGAGTGTATGGAAAGGGAATGCAAGGGAAGGTATGTAAACTGCAGAAATTCATTTATGATCTCAAACAGACTCCTCGGGCTTGGTTTGAGAGATTCAGGGCTGCTCTTGTCTCATTTGGTTACACACAAACTTAATCTAACCATACCCTGTTCTTGAGGAGAAGTGGCTCTCTGGTGACCTTTCTGATAGTTTATGTTGATGATATTGTGGTCATGGGTAATGACACCTAGGAGGTCAGTAAGCTCAAAAGGTTTCTTAACTCTGAATTTGAAATCAAGGGTTTAGGAGATCTTCAATATTTTTTGGGCATTGAAGTTGCTAGATCTAAGGATGGTATCTTCATTTCTCAACACAAATATGTCCTTGACCTCCTTGCTGAGACTAGTAAACTTGGTGCTAAACCAACCTCTACTCCTATTGATTCCAATCATAAGCTTTCTGCTACAGATAGTGAACTTTTATCTGATAGGGGAGTGTTTTAAAGAATGCTTGGGAAATTGTTATATCTCTATATGACTCGGCCGGACATTCCCTATGCAGTGAGTGTTATTAGTCAATTTATGCATTCTTCCAGAGATACTCATTTAGCTGTTGCAAAAAGAGTTTTGTGTTACTTGAAAGGTACTTTAGGGAAAGACATTTTATTTGCCAAACATAGACACATGAAGTTGGAAGCATACACTGATGCTGATTGGGCAGGATGTATTGATGATAGGAGATCCACCTCGGATTATTGTGCTTTGGTGGCAGGGAACATTGTTTCATGGAGGGGTAAGAAACAGTCAGTAGTTGCCAGATCCTCTACTGAAGCAGAATACAGGGTAATGGCACATGGTGTGTCAGAATTATTGTGGCTACGATCACTTTTAGAAGAATTGGGGGTTCACTATGAGAAGCCAATGATGCTTTACTGTGACAACCAAGCACCTATCAATATTGCACATAATCCTGTTCAACATGACAGAACTAAACACATTGGGGTTGATAGACATTTTATATGGGAAAGAGTTTCCTCAAGGGAAATTTGCTTGCCATTCATCGCCTTAGAAGAACAGTTAGCTGATATTTTGACCAAGGGAGTTCCAAGAGGGAAGCTTAGACAATATATAAGCAAGCTGGGCATGATTGACATCTATGCTTAGCTTGAGGGGGAGTGTAGAGAGACTGGGCCGAATGGGCCCTAGTATCTTTTCTTGTAGTATGTTATTTATTTATTTATTAGCTAATGGGCCTATCTTTATGAGCCTGTTATTTCTTTTTGTTAGTTCTCTTTATGTTGCTGCCTAGCTGGCTGCCCACTTAAGGGCATACTTGTAATTAACCTAAGATTGAAGTTAAACAAAAAGATTAGAGAAGGGAGGGAAGAGATATTCAAACTCTTCTTCTTCTTCCTCTTCTTTTCTCCATCTTCTTCCTTTGTGCTGCTGTTCTCTATTTTTCTTTCTTCTCTCTCTAAATTTTACCAAGTTTATATCAGTTTTACAAGACCGATTTACATCTTATCCAGAGTTTATGTAAGGAATGCAAACTACACTAGCTTCAAAGCTTCTCATGACTGAAATGTTTGTCTACTTCGATATGTTTTATCCTCTCATGCATCACAAGATTGTGAGCTATATTAATTGCTGTCTTGTTGTCACAATGCAATAATATTGGGTTTTGAACTTCAATTCCCAACTCCTTCAACATATTCTTCAACTACAATATTTCTGCAATACCATGTGCCATGGGCGATAGGATTAGCTGAACACTTTAGCTGCTCATCATGTTGTGGGATCAATAATAACACTCCAAATTGGTCATAAAATACATGGGGCCCACAATTGTTCAACCTCTCAGTGTGGGCCCCATGTATTTTGTCACTTGTGTGGAGCATTATCATTGGTTCCATAGCTTGCTACACAGCTAAAGTTTTCAACTAATCTGAATTCATGCCATGGCCCCTATACTCAACCTTTGCACTTGACCTAGTAGCCACCGTTTGTTTCTTACTTATCCATGTCAGAAAATTACCACCAATGAAGGTACAATAACCTGTGGTCGATCTTCTGTCATCAACTGAGCCTGCCCAATCAACATTAGTAAGTCTCTACCCTCAAGTAGCTATGCTTGGAGAAGAGAACACCTCTACCAGGATAGTTTCTTCATATAACACATCCTACAACAGCAAGATGATTGATCCTAGGGGCATGCATATACTGACTTAACACCCTAAATGCATAAGCTATATCAAGCCTGGTCATAGATAAGTACAACAGTCTCCCAGTTCCCTGTAATAATAATGTCATTTTTAGCAAAGAGAGTATGATTACTCTAACATTGTCTAAATCCAACATGCTTGACTGCATTATTAAACCTGTCGAACCAAGCCCCAAGGGATTGTTTTAGACCATACAATGACTTTTATTATTCTAATTGTAATGTGAAAACAATTAAATGAATGTCCTTGGTAGGGTGGCCAACACAAAAAAAATATGAATATGTTTCCGTAACACTATCCCAAATCTCTTTGGTTGAAGTCATCTAGAGATAATGTTGGCTTATGTGAGGCTGCATTGAGTTGACTAACCACCCGGTCACAGTGTAGTTCTCCTACATCCATCTCTCACATGCGGGATCCGTCTCTACCGGTTTCTCTTTACTACCTATAAGATATCCCAATTTCCCTCTACTACATACATAAATCCGTATGAATTGTTCCTAGGCCAAGTAATTTGTTATCCAACTTAATTGTGGTCACAGCACTCAGTACAGAACCTATTGACCAACCCCAAATTCTGGGTTCTGCAGCATACCTCCTAACTTCAAGCTCTTTAAGAGCCTTCCATTACCCTTCCTTTCTAGTAGTAATCACATCATATATGAAATCTTTGAACCGCCAATAGCATTTCTCACTACCAACACCAAAGCTTTCTTAAATTCTCTAATTTTTAGGGCACCTTTCTCTTTGGTTCTTGTTTCCTCTAGCAGAAAACTTTTAGTTTCAACTCCAAAGCTTCTTCTCCATGCCATTTAACATGCTCAATTGCTTATGCCGAACATAAAAAAAGAAACATAGAAGAAATACTGAAGATAAAAGAATGATATAATGGTAACAATGAAGAGTATGAGACAACATGAGAAATAATATGTAATATACATTGAGTCCTTTTCTAATCATCAAGAGAGAGAGAGAGAGAGAGGGAACAACTTTTCTACTTGAAAATCCCCATTGAACTTGTAGTGCGTCACAAGCTGCCATTGTGTCTTCTCTCTTATCATCCCTTCTAGTATAAAAATTTAGATTCTTTTAAAAGTAGAAACATTAGAACCAATAAGGGAAGGAGAAGGAACGGAAAGTAGAATATAAAGGGAAAAATGCGTCTTTTTACACTACTTACACCCTTGAAGAAAGGCATTAAAGGGAAAAAAGAGGATGAGACTTAAAAAACTAACTCTTACCAAAGTTGAATTTCAAGCCATTTATTTAGAGACCAATTTATCAAGATAAGTAGATAACTAATTGTAGTCAATCAGATGAAATTCTGACTATAGACAGCCATATATAAGAAGTATTTACAGAGAGGACTTTCCTTTACCTACCCGTATTAGTGAGATTTCTTTTTCTTCCCTATCTTCCCTTGAGAACTTCTCTTTTCTTGTCTCCTTATTTTGGCTTTTTTTAAGAAACTCTAAGTGGTATGCTGTGAGACACAATTTTCTCTGAAGAAGAATCTCTAGCTTCCCCTTAAGGATCTTAAATAAGGAGTGGGGTAGTTATGCAATTACCCTCTTCCCCTAGGTGAAGGACACCTGTCCTTTCCACTTAAAGAGAGGGAACTCCCGTACAGGACATCTTATTTTGTTTTGATAATTTAGCTAGAACACTATCAAACCCATTTATTTTGGTTATAAACTATTTAAATATTATTTGGTTTAAAAAAATCCTTTAGCACTATCCCATACAAACTTCAATTTACAACTAAGCCAATATAATGGTCCCTATTAACCCCCTAGGTCACAGTTTTATACCGTGTGGAGGGTGAGATGCACAGACAATGGTAACTATGTGTGGTACATAGAGACATGCATTTATATTCATAATTGTTGGCACTATAGCATCTTCAATTTCCTTGTTTCTACCTACCTACTTTATGGGTATATTAACTTAGATGCATATATTAGCATATTAGGAGGAAACAAGGAAATGGAAAATGTTATGGGATTTATTGTTGGGTTGGGATAATTGTAAGAAATTGCACCCCTGACACAATAGAATATTGTGGTTCTAATAATATACATAAATCAAGATATTGAGCTCATCCATATGAAAACTAGATCAGAGTTTGAGAACTAAAAATGGATCCTGGTCTAACAACATGGCTTTCCAAATAGCAGTCAACATCGAGTCAGCAATATTTGAAGTTCTGAGAAGCAGATGCATCATTGATTAACTTGTTTGGATCTAAAGCTTGGGCAAATTCATGGCCTTAATGAGAGTAATCTCAAATCTTGACTAGGGATTCCATTTCAGTTTCCTATATGCAGTTACATGCACTAACAAATTTTTACCAGGATATATCTTTCCCATTGATTTTTGTATGAATCTCTTAAGTTGCTCCACTGCTAGGCTCGTAAGATTTCAGTTCCTGTGTGCGTTTCAACTCAATTTGTTTTTTCTATCTTTAAATTTAACTTATTTTGTATGACATGTTATTGTGACAGACACTCCAAAGTTGTGGGTGGAACGTGCTTGACTGTTACAGTGGTGTCTCCATGGTGGCGAAACCATCTGCTTATCTTGGTAAAACTGTGAAGCTCAGTTGTTCACTAAAAAGAGGTTCCACTTCTAGTGGTGAAGTTTTTGAAGCCAAGCTTGATGACTCTAATATCAGGGAAGCCATGCTCAGAGCTACTGGTTTATGCATCAATAGCAGTTCATGGACTGGAATTCCTGGCCACTGTCGATTCACAATCGCATTGGATGATGCCAAGTTTGAGCAGGCATTGAAATGCATAGTCATGTTCAAGACTTCCGTCCTTGGTGACTAGAAAGCTCTCTATCATTGTGATTCTTTGTGTGTGTGTGTGTGGTTTTGTTATTAATGTGACTTAGGTGTCATGAAATAATCAAAATCTTCCAACCATTAGATCAAATATGTATGGGATGGCACTTTAGGTGGCTTCCCTAGCCATGAACTATGCTCACCAGGGTAGACCCTTGGCTTTGACTGTATTTGCTGCAAATTACAATGTTAAAATCATTTTAACTGCATCTTCAGTGATGCAGATACAAAAGGAAAGTTGGTTCTGGTTTTCATTTTTTGTTTCACAAAATTTTCTTTAATATTGTTTGGTTCTGATTTTCATATTTTTGTTTCACAAAATGTGCTTTAATTAATTATGGTTTTAGGAAAATTGCTGGTGAGAACTGTGCAACTAATTAGGGGGTGTTCTACAATGTGAATTGTTTTTCTTGTTGCCGGTTCCAGAAACAAATTGTTTCTTAAAACAAAAACACAAAAAGCATGTTCTTGGTTGTGTTTTCTATTTTCAAAACTGAAACCAAAAACATGTTCTTGAATCTGGTTTCAAAAACATATTTTCATCTGATTATTCAATATTATGTGCTATAAATCATATAATTTCTACACTGAAAATTTTGTTTGTCTTAAAAACCAATATTTTGTTGGTTCCAAAAACATGTACTGTTTTTTTAAACAAAACCAACTTACTTTTCCCTTTGAAAACAAAAACAGAGTTAAAGAAAACATTTTTGTTTTTGTTTTTTTTTTTTTTCTGATGTGGTGATTCCAAAAACAAATGAAACAAAAACGTTCATGTTGTAGAATGCCCTCTGAGAGCCTTTATGCATGAATCATGATAGCTGGCAGCAGCTCCGAAGGGCTGCATGCTTTCTCTCACATCACCCTCTCAGCTCAGGTACGCTTCAAATAGAGTTTGACATTTCACAGTAAATTTCCTTTGCAAGAACCGGAAATTCAAGGTGTTCTTTCTCCCTACCTTTCATACCATGGAGATTTTGAAGTGCGTAGGTTAGACTTTTTTTTTTTTGATAGATAAACAAGCTATATTAGATATCCAAAATATCTACAAAGTTCAAAACTTTGTAGATGAGATGGGATGTTATATTTTCTATTTACATAACAGAAAGAAAAGAGCTGAATTGCCGAAGTAGAGCTTTGGTCTTGAACAAAAGCCAAAGGCAGGACGAAGGAAGAGTAGTCTTCAATTGCAGCGCTTGAAGCACATTAAATTCAAGCATATCAGAATATTTCCTTTTGAAAACTGGTCAGCATGTTGGATTCCTTGCAAAATGGCATTCAATTCAGCTTCTTCTACAGATCCCAAGCTCTTAGATTTACCCCCTACAATTCAGCTTCCTCCATCTGTGAAAAGGATTAAATTGATATTAGGATTCAATATTAAAGTAAACATGTGATGAATATCCGAAGAAGTGTTGATACTGATCATGGGAAATTTAACAGAATTAAAGATATTATTAATTCTTATGAGGATCCAATGAAGTGGAATCTATCTTTGAAACAAAAGAACTTATTAGAGCATTTTTAATCCAAGGTGCAACGAATAAAATAGATTGAGAAGGAGGGCATTCAAAAAAACAAATGATTAATATATTCTACAAAGGCTACACTGTCTCTCTTGTGGGGATGAGAGGAAAAATTATTTTACTGAATGAAATTATTAACCACACGCCATATAAAAAGTTGACACCTGGGAGGAATAGGAAGTTTTCAAATCCATTTAAAACTGCTTTTTTTATTGTCTATTAAGGTAAGTAACCCGTTTTGTTGTATCTCAAAGTATGCATGTTTAGCTAAGATTTTGCCTGATGAGTGATGAATCCATACCCAAGACATGGAGTTTTCGTCAGGAAAAATGGGTGTGTTTAGAATATCCTGCACGCCCTCATTATTAAAATGAGTTTGAAGAAGTTGTTGGTTTTTAGAACAATTTGACATGAGAGGTGAAATTGGAAGATTCTTCAAAGTTGGAGTCACAGGCTGTGGTAGCATCTGAAATTTCTCTTAATCCAATGTACCTAGTCAATTGCAGCTGAAGAATTTGAGTTTAATAGAAAACCGATTTCCTGAAAAAGATCCCACAACTAAGGGGCCATAGATTTCCAATAAAAGGAACCGGTTGAACTAATGTAGGGAAACAAACTTTTATTTCGCAGGTATTTGGGTTTCCACAGCTAAGCCCAAAGTTTATGTTGTTCATTAATAAACCTCCATGCCAAATCTTTTTAATAGGACCAAATTTACAGTCTTGGTGATTATTAAACCTAGATCTCCATGTTGAGCTAATCTATTCCAAGCGCACTAGTGAAAGGGATAGGGTTTAGAATCAATATTAGCCCACCAGGAGTTTTTTTTTTTTTATCAATCCCATTAATTGCTTTAAGGGGAAATTGAAGAACACTCCTATTAAGGATAGGGATGGATTGCAAAACAAATTGGCCTTTATATTTTCTAGCACATAGGAAAGATCATTATGTTCATTTCTAGTCCACTAAGGAGGAATGACTAGATATCTTGATTGAGGATTGAGAGGTTTGATTTGAGTTGTCACCTAATCACATATTGATGCTTTTGCTAAAGGAATGAGTTGGCCATGATTTGCCTAGGTGAATGCTTTTGCTAAAGGAGATCCATGATTTGTCTAGGTTAATGAGTTGGCCCGACAGGTCTTGGAATTTATCCAATATAGCCTTCAAGTTATCTAAGTCTTCCTTATGGGCTCTAAGTAAAAGCATAATATGATCCGCAATGAAAATGTGAGAAATGGAAGGAAAGATATGTGAGATTTGGATGCCTTTTAATCTATTTTCAGATTCAGCTTTGAGGAGCATTCTAGAAAGACCTTCTATAGCCAGGTTGAAGAGGTAGGGGGATAAAAGATCCTCCTATCTTAGATCCCTAGAGGGGGGTAAAGTGTCCTAAATAATCATTAATGAGAACTAAGAAAGATACATACAAAATACATTCATGAATGATTTGACAAAAGTCAAAGGAAAATTTCAATAGGCAGGGTCATAAGCTTTTGATATATCTAACTTAATACTTAAATAGTCTATACCTCAAGTGGTGATGTTTTAAAAAATGAAACATTTCATGAGTAACAATAGTATTATCAATCATATGACGATCAAGAACAAAAGTAGCTTAGGTAAGAGCAATACATTTGTCCAATAAAGGACAAAGGTGATTTGCTATTATTTTGGCCAAGATTTTACGAAGGACACTACTCAAATTGATGGGTTTGTAATCTTGAACTCTAGTACAATCAACTTTTTTTAGGGATTAGGCATATGAAAGTGTGATTTTTTTAACCTCCTTAGAATTTTTTTATTTTGAAAAAGAAAATCTTAAGCAAAAATAATTATTCCATCCCCTATCAAATCCCAACATTCTTTATAAATCAAAGCTACCATACTATTAGGTCCTGGAGATTTGAGGCTTCCTATGTTAAAAATAACTTGTTTGACTTCTTCTAAATAAGGAATAGCTATTAGCATTTAGTTCTCTTCATCCAAAATTATAGGGTATATTAAATTGGGTAAAAGGTTCAGATCCCCAGAAGCTTGAGAAGTGAAAAGCTCTAAAAAATAGGAGATAAAACCTTGAGCTATATCCTTATGCTCTGAAACCTAAGTACCTTGATCATTCTTTATTCCATTAATGGTATTTCTTTTTTGCCTAAAAATGGTACTTTTATGAAAGGAGTTGGTGTTTTTGTCTCCTAGTTACAGCCAAAACTATCTAGATTTTTGTTTCCAGAAGCTCCACTTGGCCTGAAAAGATCATCAAATTGTTATACAAGTCAAATATCATTTCATTATCCCAAGGAGATGAGTGTTCTACCAAAATGATTTGATCCTCCAAAGCCTTAAGTTGATTTTGGGAATTTTTGAAAACTAATTTATTCCATTGAATAAAATACTGTTTAACTCAATTTATCTTTAAAGCAATTTTATATGTTATATGTCCATTTATTAGGAGATTCCACCCATCATCAATAACCTTTTTATAGGATTGATTAAACAACCATATTTCATAGAATCAAAAAGGTTTCGGGAATTGGTGTTTTCTAGGGTTTGATTCTAAGAGAATTGGGTGATGATCACAACCCCATTGGGAAGCTAAGAGAATAGGTTAAGGTCAAAGATATGATTACAATACTGACGAGAGGTAGAATTAATTATTAAAGAGCATAGGTCCTAGACTTCTATAATAGTTGCTTTACCAAAATCACCTATGAGAACAAAAGGTAGGTCATTTGTCTCTAACCAAGCTATGAGATTAGCCCAAAATTTGTTTCAATGTACTTTTAATTGAGGGACCATAAATAAAACCAATAATCCTTTGTTCTAGCGGAGGGGGAGAAGATATTTTAAGAAAAACATATCTTGCACTTACCACAAAAAGAGACACCTACAAACTAGACTTCCAAAAATTTGTTAGTCCTCCTGCTTGACCTTTAGGAGGGATTAAATAAGAGCTAGAATATTTTAATTGGCTAGTTAGTTTATCCATTTTTTTCATTCGGGATTTTAGTTTCACAAAGAAAGATAAAAATCAAGATTATAACATTGAACCAAAACCCTAAGACACTAGACTGCCTTATAATGACTTGCTCCAAGACAGTTTCAGATTAAGATTAACATTGACGGTGGTGTGGCTGTTGTGGGCCAGCCACTACTGCCCTTAAGAATAAAAAATTCAAAGAAAGAAAAAATAAGTTACTTACAGGAGAAGTTTGTTCCTCAGATTGACTTGTTGTAGTAGTTGCAGTAAACTGTTGAAGCTACTCCATATTTCCAATGAGCTCAACCAAGGTATGGTCTAACAAAACAACTCTAGCTATAGGAGAATGGGTCATGGAAGACTCTTGATGATCAAAGATAGGCATGCCAAGTCTGTCATCCTCAATTTCCAACCTAGAGAGGAAGTCTATACGTGGCCTCTTGCAATGAATGAAAGTTGACGAGCTCAAACCATCCAATGAGAAAAGACGGTTGAGAGTAGATTGGGTATGGGTGGCTAGGTGATCTGTCTGTAGAGAAATTCTATCAGAAGAATGCGGAGGGTGAGGTAATAGCCCATTCCTTTTTGATGAAGGGGATAGAACTAATGCCAAGGTATCGTTTGAGTTATTCTGAAGGTGATCAAGAGGCTATTGAGAGTGAGGGGCAAGTTGAGGTGTAGGTCGATCCTCAGGTTGCTCAGGAAGATAAACAAGCTTTCTAAAATGCGGTCAGTGCCAACTATGACA